AGAGAGGGTGGACCGAAGACAATGATCAAGCGATTTGTTTCCTGCCATCCCTCTCCAGCCTCTGACAAACAGAGGCCAAGGACACCATTTTATCCCCTGGCTAATAGCCTTTTATGGACCTAACCTCCATGAATTTATCCAGCTTCTCTTTAAACTCTATTATAGTCCTAGCCTTCACCGCCTCCTCTGGCAAGGAGTTCCACAGGTTGACTACACGCTGTGTGAAGAACTTTCTTTTATTAGTTTTAAACCTGCTACCCATTAATTTCATTTGGTGTCCTCTAGTTCTTCTATTATGGGAACTAATAAATAACTTTTCTTTATCAGCCCTCTCCACACCACTCATGATTTTATAGACCTCTATCATATCCCCCCTCAGTCTCCTCTTTTCTAAACTGAAAAGTCCCAGTCTCTTTAGCCTCTCTTCATATGGGACCCGTTCCAAACCCCTAATCATTTTAGTTGCCCTTTTCTGAACCCTTTCCAAGGCCAAAATATCTTTTTTGAGGTGAGGAGACCACATCTGTACACAGTATTCAAGATATGGGCGTGCCATAGTTTTATACAGGGGCAGTAAGATATTCTGGGTCTTATTTTCTATCCCTTTCCTAATAATTCCTAGCATCCTATTTGCCTTTTTGACCGCCGCTGCACTCTGTGTGGAAGTTTTCAGAGAACTGTCCACGATAACTCCAAGATCTTTCCTGATTTGTCGTAGCCAAATTAGCCCCCATCATACTGTACGTATAGTTGGGGTTATTTTTCCCGATGTGCATTACTTTACACTTATCCACATTAAATTTCATTTGCCATTTTGTTGCCCAATCACTCAGTTTGGTGAGATCTTCTTGGAGTCCCTCACAGTCTGCTTCTGTCTTGACTATCCTAAACAGTTTTGTATCATCTGCAAAGTTTACTACGTCACTGCTTCATCACGATTGAGTCCATTCACATGAGAATTGAATTTGCGGATGAACTTTTAAAAAAACTATTATATTCTTTGAGCTTTGCTAAATATATTTAATGTTTTCTAGGATCATTATGATTTTGGCATGAGAGCAATAAAGACAGTGTTATTGAGGGCTGGACAAAAGAAAAAAGAATTAAAAAAACAGTGAGTAAGATTCTAAATCACTCCCCCACTGTACTACTAAAATGTAGGTCATTATTATGGTGCCTTGCTAAGTAAAATAATACTCAATATCATACTAAAATATTGGTAGCAGAGAACTTTTACCAAGAATATTTGACTTACACACTGACATTATCAGTGTGTGCAGCATCTTATAATTTTGGGCTTGTAAAACGAATGTTATGCATTTCTGCCCAGGAAGAGAAAGCAGATCTCCAGAAGCAGACATTATCTGTTGTTTCACTTACATTCGCTTGTTCAAACTTACACCAGGGAGGTAAACAGCCAAATTCATTCATGTATAGCTTCACTGCAAATAATGAGGATATTCCATGGATGAATCTGGTCCAAAGAGTTTTGCTGCTGTTCTTATACACATCTGGGAATTTACATATATATAAAAATAGTACAGAAGGACCCATTTCTTGTATGGCTTGTGATCTGATGTAAGTTGTATAGAAAATATATTTCCAGACTTTTCTAGCTTTCACTCCCTCAGTTTGCAACCGGTGTTTTTATTCCCTGGTTCAAATTGGACGATATTTTCCCTCTCCCAACTGCTAACTTCTCATCTCATCCAAAGCTTTTGGCTATATCCATTCTTCCAATTATGGCTCTTGGTAGTTCAAACTTTCCCCTATGTTTTCTACTCCCAGCTGCTTTCTTCCATTCCTGGCCAAATCTTTATAATCACCATCCGCCTAAAATGCTCCAATAACACCTGCTATCTCCCCTACAGAAGCTCTCTCAGGGTATGTCTACACTTCAATGTTAGTTCAAACTAACGGACGTTAGATCGAACTAACATTCATAGGCGCTACACTAGCGCTCCGCTAGTTCGAATTTAAATCGAACTAGCGGAGCGCTTAGTTCGAACTAGGAAAACCTCATTTTACGAGGATTAAGCCTAGTTCGAACTTACTAGTTTGAATTAAGGGGTGTATAGCCCCTTAATTCGAACTAGTGGGAGGCTAGTCCTCCCCAGCTTTCCCTGGTGGCCACTCTGGCCAACACCAGGGAAACTCTATTGCCCCCCTCCCGGCCCCGGACCCCTTAAAGGGGTACGGGCTGGCTACGGTGCCGGTGCCAGGTGCAAGCCTGCCAGCACCCAGCCAGCAGACCCTGCACCTGGCACGGCACAGAGCCACCCACCCGATGCCCCCTTACTGCCCTGGACCGCAAGAGGAGGGCACCTTCCTGGGCTAGTGAGGACATCGTGGACCTCGTCCACGATCTCCGCACTAGGCACAGGAAAGTGGCCGTCTAGGGCAGGAGAGCTGCCAGCCTGGCCACCCAGGAGCAGGTGTGCATGAAAATCAAGGGGGTCCACTGAGACCCCCGACCCTGAGCCCTGAGCTTACAATGGCCGTCCTGGGTCAGACCAAAGGTCCATCTAGCCCAGTAGCCTGTCTGCTGACAGCGGCCAACCCTAGGGACCCTGGAGGGGATGGACCGAAGACAGTGACCAAGCCATTTGTCTCGTGCCATCCCTCTCCAGCCTTCCACAAACTTTGGGCAGGGACACCACTCCTATCCCCTGGCTAAGACTACTCCATGGACCCAACCTCCATGACTTGATCTCACTTCCCTTTAAACTCTGTTCCAGTACCAGCCTTCATAGCCTCCTGCAGCAAGGAGTTCCACAGGTTGACTCTTTCTTTGTGAAGAACAACTTTCTGTTACTAGTTTGAAGCCTGCTACCCATTCCTTTCCTTTGGTATCCTCTAGTCCTTCTTTATGGGAACTCATGAAGAACTTTTCTGAATGCACCCTCTCCATCCAACCCCTGCTTTTAGAGACCTCTATCCTGTCCCCTCTCCGTCTCCTCTTTTCTAAGCTGAACAGTCCCAGTCTCTGTAGCCTCTCTTCATCTGGGGCCTGTTCCCAACCCCTGATCATGTTAGTTGCCCTCCCCTCTCCCAGCCTTTCTCTTCCCCTCTCCCACCTCCTTTTCCCAGTCTCCCCCAGTTTTGTTCAATAAAGACAGAGTCAATGTTGGAAGAAACGTTTTCTTTATTTTGTTCATCAATAAGAAGGGGGGCTAGGGAAGGGTAAGTGGAAGGAGGTGAGGGAGGAATGGGGTACGAGCCCCCGATGGGGAGGATTGGGCTGGCTCTGCGGGCTTCTGGGGGTGGAAGCTCTCCTGCAGCCCCCCAATTACGCCCTCTCCCAAGATGGAGCCTGCGGCAAGTGCAGCCGGTCTGATGGCCGAGTGCTGTGATGTGCCCAGTGTGGGCACTCAGGGCACTCCAAGCCAGGACTGGTTTGCAAGCGGGGCACCCCTGAGAACTGTCTGTCCGGGGTGGGGGTCGGGTCCCTTTAAGCGCAGCCCTCGGCTAGCCTGAGACAGCATCTCCACGCTCTAAGTCCTCCTCTGATGCCCTGCCGGCACTGCTTCCGGCCATCCTTAAGCCCTGTTCAGGGTCCACTCAATGTGGACTTGCTAGTTCGAATTAGCAAAATGCTAATTCGAACTAGTTTTTAGTTCTAGACGCGTTAGTTCAAATTAGCTTAGTTCGAATTAACTAATTCGAACTAAGTTAGTTCGAACTAACTCTGTAGTGTAGACATACCCGGAGGGTTTAAGACAGACAACCATATGAACGAGAAGATTTACCTGGCATTGCTCTGGTCCTTAACTCAGTTAATTTGTTTTTCTTCATTTAAATCATTGCTTTGGGGTAGTATTAGGGATGTGGGAGTTCAGTATGCATGCTGCCCCAAGGAGAGAGAATTCCCTAGCCCTCTTTCATCACAGCATCATGGGGTCAGGTGAGAAGCACCTCTCCATGGCTCTTGCAGCTTCAAAGGACACTGCCAGGGGAAGGGTGCATGTTCCCTGGCTAGGGCAGGTCCAGGTTCATCTGCTCCCTGTGCTTCCAGGCCAAATTGAAGAATGGAGCTAACAGTGCACTTTGCCCTCCATGATGAAGGGGAACAGCCAGCAAATTTCCCATACAAATGGGGGAAGAGGAGCTGCAGCCTCGTCCTCTCTAAGATGTGTTTGTGAGATGGTTGGCTCAGGGCTGGGGCAGTACTCGACAGGAAGGGTCCTGCCCCCATCCATTTGTTTTCATCTGGTCCCCGTTTGCCTGCTGTTCCCCCTGCCCTCGTACAACCGAACCCTTAACTTGCTTTGAGTTATGGTAAGAGGAAACTGTATACCAAATGTTATGGTCTAGAAGGAATTATTTTATGTGTCCCTGTAAAAATGGGGGAGTTTTAGCTTCCTGCAAAATCAAATGCTTACCTTGCTTTGAGTTATGAGGAAGCTGTATACCAAATTTGGTGGTCCTAGCTCTGACTATTTAGGAGAAGCTTCAGGGAATAGCCAAGTTAGTCTGTACAGAAAAAAAATGGTCTGATAGCACTTTATAGACTAGCAAAACATGTAGATGGTATCATGAGCTTTCATGGGCACAGCCCACTTCCCAGATGAGAGGTCATCTGAAGAAGTGGGCTGTGCCCACCGAAGCTCACGATAACATCTACTTGTTCTGTTAGACTATAAAGTGCTACCAGACCATTTGACGTTTAGGAGGAGTTCTTGAACTAACAGATGGATGGACAGAATCGCTCAGACAAACAAACGCTCTCAAATATATAGTAGAAAATAGGTTGACATTCTTTTTATAATTTTTCTAGAAATGATGATACTAGAGTAGAAGAAGAAACTCTCATTATAATCAACTCATTAAAAGAAGATAATTTACCCAAGTTTCTTGCAGAAGATGTTCCTCTGTTTGAGAACATTATGGCAGATCTTTTCCCAGGAATTACTGTTCCAAGAGCAAGCACCGTCAAAGTAGAGGTAATAAAATGAATAGGCCTTTTCTGGGATAGTGATTGGCAATTTAAATGTGTCTGTTTTGTTTTTAGTTTAAAAAGGGGGGAGGAGAAGGGAAATAGCATCTTACGTCTCTGAACCCTACGCCATGGAGTCACTCTGCAGTTCCTGAAGATTGAAGCCTGACTCATTTCACACAGATACATTTGAGTCATAGATCTCCAGTATCAGATCTGCTTACTTATCCTATTCCTTTCACATCCCCATAAAGACTAGGGATTGGAGCCCTCCTGTACAAGTTCCCCTCATGTGGGATCTGTGCAGTGGAACTGCATATGTTCCACAGTTATTGGGCCCTATGTGTCTCCAGAAGAAAGATGGGAAAACCCTGCTTCCTAACACATTTTTTGTCTATAGTCCAGTAATTTCAGTTGTATAAAGAACAGAAGTTTAAAAGTAAGTCAAATTTACTTTAGTCTTTTGTGTTAATTTCAAATGTTGATATAAAATAGCATGGGATTTTTGTTAAAGATGGAATTTCTAGTTTCTTCTAGAGACTTTGAGAGAGACCTGTTCTTCATTTCTTGAAATTTGCCCAAAGATCTAAATTCTATGGAATATTTAGATCTTTTCTAGGAAGGAGTAGTGCAGAAAGGGATCTAGGGGTGATAATGGACCACAAGCTAAATATGAGTCAACAGCATGACACTTGCAAAAAAAAAAAAAGCAAACATGATTCTGGGATGCATTAACAGGAGTGTTATGAGCAAGATACAAGAAAAGGAAGTTACTCACCCTGTGTAGTAATGCCTGTTCTTCAGTTCAGAGCTTTTTCCTAGTAGTTGCCATTTGGGCTGCACACGTGCAGGAGGCGCTTTGTGCTGCTAACTGTTTGGCACCTCATGCAGCAGCCCAACACCTCATCTCCCCAGTTCCTCGTCTATGCCTGAATTACTAAAACTACAAGTAGAGGGGAGGAAGGGAGGGTCGTAGAGCACCCACATGGAACACACACCTCAAAGAATAGTCTTTACTGAACTGGGTGAGTAACTTCCTTTTCTTCTATGGATGTTGTCCCTGTGGGTGCTCCACTTATGGTGACTACAAAGCTGTATTCTGTGAGGAAGTTACTCAGAGTTACTGCTTAGCGGCAGAAGATAGCACCGCTGTAGCCACTGCTGCATCATTTGTTAGTTGAAGCATAATGGCATACTGCCTGGCAAAGGAATAGTCAGATGACCATGTGGCTGCCCTGTCTATGTCCTTCACGGGGATACTGTTCAGGATGGTGGTGAATGTTGCAGCAGCACGAGTGGAATGTGCTCTAGGTGGAGCTGGTAAGAGTTTATTCCGAAGAGCATAACAATGCCGTATACATGCTACTATCAATTTGGAAATATGCTGCGTGGAAATCAGAATGTCCTTGGAGTGTTTTGCAGTTGACAAGAAGAGAGGTGGGGATTTGTAGAGCTGTTGTGTTCTGTCAATCTAAAAGGTTAGAGTACATCTAAGTTGTGGAGCGTTGCCTCTCTATGGAATGCATGAAGCTTCAGATAGAACATAGGCAGGACTATGGCCTCATTAATATGGAAGTAGGTGCTGACCTTGGGCACAAATGATGGGTGTGGTCTTAAAGTCACTTTGTCCTTAGTAAATATAGCGTATGGTGGGCCCGCCATTATGGCCCCTATCTCACTAACTCTCTTCGCTGAAGTAATGATTACCAAAAACAGCACTTTCATAGTTAAGAGTTGGAGTAAACAGGTGGCCATAGGTTCAAAGAGAGGCCTCATGAAGCAGTCCAGGACTAGATTTAGATTCCAGGAAAGTGCTAGGGTCCTGCAAGGGGGATAGAGGAGGCCTTTGAGGAATCTCTACTGATCAGGTGGGCAAACACAGATGATCCATTGACGTGCTCATGGAACGCCATGATTGCTGCTAAATGCCCTTTGATTGATGAGATGGATAGGCCCTCATTCTTCAGATAGCATAGGTAGTCTAGGATCAAATGGAAAGGACCCCCTTGGGTCGATTTGTGTCTGTTGGTACCAGGACATGAACCGTTTCTATTTGTGCAGGTAAGTCTTTCTGGTGAATGGCCTCCTGCAATGAAGGAGGATGTTTCTCACTTGTTCTGATCAAGGAGATTCCACACTTTGGAGCCATAGTGAAGCCAGGCATGAAGGTTGAGGTTGCATGGTTGGGGATGAAGTAGTTTGTCCCCATCTTGAGAGAGAAGGTAAAGCCGATATGGTAGTGGTAGAGCTGTGTCTGATCGAATTTTCCACAAAATCCTGGTGATCATTGGAACTGGGGAAAATCTGTACTGCAAAGTTTTGTTCCAGGCGATTAGAAATGTATCACCCATGGATCCCTCGCCCAGTCCTCAAATGTGAAATTGGATACACTTGGAGTTGTTCTTGGTTGCAAAGAGATCTCTTGCTGGGTAGCCCAACTTGCAGAGGATGGATTCCGTAACCATTGGATGCAGCTCCCTCTTGTGGTCGGTGGGTGCTACGACTCAGAATATCCGCCATGACATTATTGACTCCGGATAGGTATGATGCCTTGAGGATAACTCCATACTAGATTCACCAGTTCCAGAGGCGGATAGCCTCTGCACAAAGGGATCAAGAATGAGCACCACCCTGCCTGTTTATGTAGAATGTGGTTGTTGTATTGTCCATTAGGACCCGAATTGTGCGGTTGGTAATAAAGGGAGCAAAGTGTCTGCATGCATTCCTGACTGCTCTGAGCTCGAGAAGGTTGATATGCAATAGAGCCTTGTACGGTAGCCCCTTTCCCTGCACTGTGTGGTGTTGCATGTGTGCTCTCCATCCTATTAGTGAGGCATCTGTAGTGATCTGTACTGATGGTTTTGGTTGAAGGAAGGAGACCCCCGTGAGGTGAAATGCACCATTTGAGAGAGTCTAGTATGTGTGTCAGGATGATGACTCATTGCCCAAGAGAGTGACAAGATGGTTTGTAGACTGAATTTAGCCAATGCTGTATAGCGCGGAAATGGAGTTGTACATATAGGACAACATACGTAGCAGCTGCCATATGGCCCAGCAATTGTAGGCAGGTATGAATGATAGGCATCTGGTTCATGGACAGAGTAGTCACTACATCCCAGAGTGCACTGAACCATTGGTCTGGTAGGTAGGCCCGGGCTGATATAGAATCAAGGCGAGCCCCGATGAATTTGATGTCTTGTACTGGATCTGGAGTTGACTTCTGCTTATTTATGATGAGTCTGTGATAATCAAAGAGGCATCTGGTCTTGGAGACCATCTCTGATGTCTCTGCCCATGATCCGCCTTCGAGGCAATCATCGAGATACAGGAAAATTATGACCTCCTGTTGCCAAAAATAAGCTGCTGCTACTGCGATTACCTTTGAAAAGACACAGGGGGGAAGGGGCAAGGAAAGACCAACGGGGAGAACCATGTATTGAAAATGATCATCTCCCAATGTGAAACAGAGATAACGTCTGTGGGAAGGATGTATTAGAGGTCAAGGGCTGTGAACCAGTCCCCCTTGTCCAGTGCTGGACTTACTGAAGCCAGTGTGACCATTTGAAGCACTGTTTGTGTAGGAATTTGTTTAGCTTGCGAAGATCCAGAATTGGCCTCCAACCCCCCATTCGCTTTTGGATGAGAAAGTAGGTTGAATAGAACCCTCTTCCCTTGTAGAGTTCAGGTACCCTCTATATCACCCCTATTTAAAGAAGGCGATCCATCTCTTGTCTGAGAAGGGTCTCGTGAGAGGGGTCCTTGAAGAGGGACGGGGAAGGAGAGGAAGTAGTGGGAAACAATGTGAAGAGTATGGAATATCCCACAGAGATGATCTCTAGTGCCCACTGAAGTTATCAAGCCCCATGGAGGAGAAAGGGGAGTAATCTGTGGGTGAACAGGTATTTCTGGTTGATTGTCACTGTGTGGTTGGGGAGGTCAGGCAGACCCTGGACCAATTTTTCAAGTTTTCTGTTTGGCGGTCTGGGAGCTGGAGGAGCATGATTGAGGTGAACGCTTCCTTTGGGGCTGCTGCCTGGACCAGTTATACTGTCCAGGCAGTTATACTGTGGATGGTTGTAATAGCTGTCCTTGTTTCTGTTTTAAGGGGTGTATCTCTTTCTCCTATATGGTGGCATGTACACGCAAAGGGTCCGAGAGTCTTTTCTGTTATGCAGTATCTCATCTGTTAGCTGCAAACAGTTTCTGTTTGTCAAAAGGGAGAGCCTCCACTTTCATCTGCAGATCCCTGAACACTCTTGCTCAACTCATCACCACAGCTGTAGCAGTTGCTCTAGCCGCTGTGTCAGCCACATCTATAACTGCTAGTAGAGCTGTACAACAATGGTGTGTCCCTTGTGAATGATTGCTCTGAGACTGGGCCTCTTGGAGTTGGGTAGGTGTTCCATGAGTTCAGCCAGCTTGGAATAATTATCAAAATCATGATTTGCCAACAGCACAGAGTGGTTTGCTATTCTAAGTTGCAAAGTGGCTGATGAATAGGTCTTTTTACCGAAGAGGTCAAGTTTCTTGTGCTCCTTCTCATTGTTTACAGATTTGAGCGGGGGAGCTTTGGAGAGTTGATTTGCTGCATTCACCACCGGTGAGTTTGGCTGGGGGTGTGAAAAAAAGAAAGTCCAAGTGCCTGGGAGGGACGAAGTACTTCTTGTCAGTTTTTTTTCAGGTTGGTTGTCTGGAGGTGGGTGTCCGCCAAAAGTTGTCTGATACTTCCATTATTGCCTCATCAATCGGTAGTGCAATCCTTCCTTGAGAAGACTGACGAATATTCTTTACGAGGTGATGTTGTTTCTCTTTAACCTCTTGGAGTTAGACCTCTTAGCTGGTGGCTACTCTTTTAAAAAGCTCTTGAAACTGTTTCAAGTCGTCAGTTGAATTTGATATCTCAAGGGCTATGGCTTCATTGAGAGATGTAGATGGATTATCTTCAAAGGCCTGATGTGGTTTTGTGATGCTATCCTCGTTAGGAATTTGACTGTCTTCCTCCTCTTCCAAATCTGCTGAAGCTGTTATGGTGTGAGATTGAGAGGCTGCTGGAAGCCTTCTCGGTGATGCAGATGTGCTCCTGGGGTGGCATCTGCGGGGCTTCCAATAGTCCCATGGCGCCCACTGGGGAGGGTAGTATGGAGGAGGATGTTGCCAGTCTAAGTACCAATGTAGGTAATGAGGTCTTGCATTGTAATGTTGAAATTGACGAGATGTAACTGGAGATGAGTGGTGCGAGGAAAAAACACTCCTCTGTTCATAATGGGCCACTGCAGCACTTCCCTACATTATTGGAGGTCCAGTGCAACATGGCGATGTTCCTGGGGAACAAACTGACGGAGGACGATGCCCCCACTGAAGGAGGGGAATTTGTCTAAGTGTTCTGGGTTTCAGCAGTTAGTGTGCAGTTGTCTTCCATTTGTACTGAATAATTGGTGTGCTCTGCCTGTGTTTCAGCCTTTGACGGGGGGAGCCTCTTTGTAGGTGTCGATTCCGCCCAAGATGGTGCCACAGACTTGCAAGGCCTTTTAGAAGGCAGTTCCACACTCCTTCCCGGCACCAAGTGTTGTGGTCTGTCAGCATGGTGTTTCAGGTGCCGCTGGGTGAGCACGCTGAGACCATGCAGGCTGCGCTATGGCAGTGACTGATAAAGGTCTCACTGCCCGCTTTGCTGCTGCATCCACCTTGTCCCCTGTAGCCATTCTGAGGGATGGCTTCACTGGTAAGGATCTTGCTGGAGATGCTTTTGCCCTTCTGTGTTGTGGGGCAAGGGAGAGACACAGATCTCTGCTTCAGGTCTCCCTGAGTCAAAGCAAGTTGGGGCTCTTCAGAAGGCTGCAGTGCCCATTTAAATAATATCATTTGGAGCCACATTTCCCGGTCCTTCCTGGCTCTGGCCATAAAGCTCCTGCAGTGGTCGAATTTGGGGGGGCTTGTGTCTCCCCCCAAACATCTTATACAAGAATCATGTCCATGCGAAACTGGCTTGGGCTGATTACATTTCAGACACTTCTTAAAGCCCTGAGAATTGGGCATATTAGTGTCTTACTGAATGTCAGACTGTAGGGTTTTGGGTTATTTTTATTGAAAGGTTAGGGTAATAAAGTGAGGCGTGAGGGAGATCAGAGCTGCAGCAGTCCATCCAGACCAGGTTTGGAATGAAAAAGCCTCTTCTCCTTTTTTAAAAAAAAATTAAGTTGTAACAAAGAGCTAATAAGAGCTTTGAAATGGTAACAAGAAGAAAAAAACAGTTCAGTAACTGTGTGAAGTAAAGTGAGTGCCTGAGGTGGGAGATATCAGAGTTCCATCTGTGACCAAGGGTAGTTAGAGAGGAACTGGGGTGGGGGGGTCAGACTGCTGTGCAAGGTGCCAAACTGTCAGCGGCTCAAAGCGCTTCCTGCATGTGGGAAAAACTATCAACTTATAGGAAAAAGTTCTGAACTGCGGCTCCAGGGGTCACCTGTCACCATCAGTGGAGCATCAATGGGGACATCACCTGAAGAAGTAGTAATTCTTCACCTCTGCACTGATTAGGCATCCGTAGGAGTATTGTGTCCAGTTCCGGGCACCATATTTCAAGAAAAATGTGGAGAAATTGGAGAAGGTCCAGAGAGGAGCAACAAAAATGATTAAAGGTTTAGAAAATATGACCTATGAGGAAAGACTGAAATAATTGGTTTGTTTAGTTTGGAAATGAGACTACTGAGAGGGGATATGATAGCCGTTTTCAAGTGCCTGATAGGGTATTACAGGAAGGAGGGAGAAAAATTGTACTGCTTGACCTCTGATAGGACAAAAAGCAATGGGTTTATATTGCAGCAAGGGAGGTTTAGGTTGGACATTAAGAAAAACTTCCTAACTCTCAGGGGGTATGTCTACACTACCCTGCTAGTTCGAACTAGCGGGGGTAATGTAGTCATCCGCAATTGCAAATGAAGCCCGGGATTTGAATTTCCCGGGCTTCATTTGCATGAAGCCGGCCGGTGCCATTTTTAAATGCCGGCTAGTTCGAACCCCGTGCCGCGCGGCTACACGCGGCACGGAGTAGCTAGTTCGGATTAGGCTTCCTAATCTGAACTAGCTGTACTCTTCATTCCACGAGGAGTACAGCTAGTTCGGATTAGAAGCCTAATCTGAACTAGCTACTCAGTGCCGCATGTAGTCGCGCGGCACGGGGGTCGAACCCGGGCTTCATATGCAATTGCGAATGACTACATTACCCCTGCTAGTTCAAACTAGCGGGGTAGTGTAGACATACCCAGGGTGGTTAAACACTGGAATAATTGCCTAGGGAGGTTGTGGGATCTTCATCACTGGAGATATTTAATAGCAGATTAGGTAGACATCTATCAGGGATGACTAGACAGTGCTTGGTCCTGCCATGAGGGCAGGGGACTGGACTTGATGATCTGTCAAGATCCCTTCCAGTTCTAGTATTCTATGTCTATTATTAGCCCCAGGTATTAAGGAAATCATCTACTTTTTTAATTTCTTCTGTTGCTGATATTGCTGCTTTCCTGAAAAAAAAATTCAGAAAAATGCATTTACTTCAGAAGCAGTTACTTTACTTTTTAATTTCTTCTACATACTATTACTGTGCTAACCGCATAATTTTTATTTTTTAATCTTAGAAAGCGATAGCTGTTGCAATACAACAATTATATTTGCAGCCTTGGGCAACTCAGATAGAAAAAGTCTTACAGTTTCACAATCAAATTTTGGTAAGTGCTACAGAACATTTGATGATATGGTAAATGCCTTGAATTTGAGATAAAAATCCAAAAGATTTTTTGAAGAAATGTGATCATATCCAAAAGATCATAATATAATCACAAGCCTGTTGAGAACTACAAAATTGATATTGTAGTAGAAAGAAAAATTTCAGAAACAATATTGGATTCATACAAAAATTCTAGATTTGTGGAAACTAAATCATTCTCATTTTTTCTAATAGTTTATCATTTTAGCAATAAGCTTCAGTGCCACATAGAAATTAGCTGATCTTTGCAAATATATTTTCAGGCTCGCGTTGGTGTGATGTTAGTAGGCCCTACAGGTGGAGGGAAGACAACTATTAGAACAATCTTAGAAAAAGCCTTGGTAATTTTACCAACTGTGTGTTTGGAAAAAATTTCAAAAAATGTTAATGTTTTGCAGGTAAGATATTCAAATATTTACTCTTGTATGTTTAAGCTACTGGTTTTCATTTAATTTTTAATAGTTAAAGAAAGCATTTATTTTAAAGCCTGATTCATAATTCTTGACAGGTCATAATTTTATGTTCTATATTGGTTTCTTTTTAAAAATTGGGTGCTTTAATATCTGTGTATACTGGAGATATAAAATTTGATGCCCAACTCCCACTGAACATCAGTAGGAGTTGGGTGCCCATGTCTATTAGGCACTTTTGAAAATTGCTCTTACAAGTGTGGGGTTGGGAAAAACAAATTTCTATGCCAGTTTCTTTGCTACACTCAATCTTTGTGCCTGAGCCCTGAACTGGGAAAACCACCTCTGGCTGAGAGGTAATTTGTTCTTCATGCCTATTCATTCAGACCTTGGCCTTTCTAGTGACTGCCACTAAGTGTGTTCATATAAATCAGTGATACAGGCATCTGTCTACCAGGAAGTGGACTGAGACAACTTTTTTTTTAGTCATTACAAACCATTGCTTAATTTGAACCAGTAATGAAACACCTTGTCTCGTTACCAATTCCTTGAATCACTTAGTACCCTATTTATTGTTTAGTATCAATTAATCAGACATACTTGTCAGCTAAAAAACCTGAAAAAGATCTATTTAGATTTCAAAAACATTATATTACACTCTCATGTTTTATTAATGAAAGTCAATATCTTGTGGTCAAATTTAATTTGTTTAATTAGCCTTTTACAGCAGGATGACAAATAAGAGGCTTACAGTGCAAATCATTTTAGATAAGTTGTAACCCAGTAATAATTTTGCAATTAAGAATTTATTGCATGATACTGAACCACAAAAAAAGTTTATATATGTTACAGCACAACTTAGCAATGACAAATCTAGAGGGCAGTGCCACAAGATATACGTAAAGAAGTATAAAGCGTAAATCATTCTTCCTTTTTTTATACAAATATTTAACAACAAATGGTCTGATAGCATTTTATAGTCTAACATCATCTGAAGAAGTGCGCTGTGCGCATGAAAGCTCATGATACCATCTATATGTTTTGTTAGTCTGTACAGAAAAACCAACAAATGGTCTGGTAGACTAACTCGGCTACCTCCTAAATATTTAACAGTTAGTTAAACTGGTAGCTAATTAACATGAGATATTCCAGTCATTTGAATAAGTTTTCATTTTTAAAATTGGCCAAAAATGTGCTGCTACTTTGAATGCTTGTTTATCTTCGTGTGTGTGTGCTCACCACATGCACTGGTGCCAGAAGTTTTTCCCTCAGTGCTAGCCATAGAGGATTGGATCTGGTGTGGTACATATATGTGCCACTATAAGGGGCACTACTGCTAGCCCCCTGCTTTAGTTCCTTCTTACTGCCTGTTATGATGCTGGAATGTTCCCTTTGCTTGGCAAGTTTTTATTCTTTGTGTGGGGGGGGGGGGGTTAGTATTTTTTTACTGTATGTAATTGAGAGTAATTTCTAGTGTAGTTCTTAGTAATTCTCTTAGTTTAATTACAGGTGTAGAAGAAGTTAGTACCCTACGGGACTTGGCCCTGGGATGGGACATGCTGTGACCCTTGGGCTTCAAGTCTTGTGAACACAGTAAAAAAATCTGGTCTCCTCAGCATCCCCAGCAAAGCTGTCTTGGGTGCTTGGGGAAAACTCACATAAGCAACAAGTGTCACATTTGCAAAAGTTTTAAGCTGCATACCAAAAAGTGGGAGTAGGATATTGGCTTTTTGGTGCTCTTTATGAAGCCAGACCTCACAACAGCCAAAGTCATCCAGTACCATTGGGATATGCTCCAGGACTGTCAGAAAGCATGTGGGTGCAGGGACGGTGGTCAATTCCATGGAAGTTTTGGAACCCTCAGATATTGCAATATCTGAAAAGTGATCAGCAGCAATCTCTCATCCACCCCCAGACTCAGAAAAGGAGCTGGAAAGGTACCCCTGGGCAGCCAGCCTCAACCAAATCTCTGGCAGGGGAAATGGAGTTTGTTGACTCATCTATGCCTACCTCCCCCAGGTGAAAGTGAGCTTGTACAGCACTTCAGTAAGAACCAGTCGCTTGCCTGGCCTGCACATGGCCAACTTTTTGCTTCCACATATTAGTGGCCCTGTTAGAAGGGTCCAGCAGCATTGCTGTGACAGTGGTTCGTTGTCCCTTTTGCCTGGGAAGCAATGGGGCAGTGAAGTTAAAGTGCTACAGGACCCCACTGTTAGAGTGTTTAAACACTGGAATAAATTGTCTAGGGAAATTGTGGAATGTCCATCATCATTAGGTTTTAAGACCAGGTTAGATAAACATCTGTCAGGGATGATCTAGATCAGGGGTGGGCAATTAAAAAAAAGGGCAGCCCTCAGGGTTAGTCCCTGGTGGGCCACTGCTGCTATGTTTATCTGCGCCTCAGCAAGTATTGGATGATTGTAGCTCTGTTTGGCTGCAAATCGCTGTTTATGGCCAATACGAGTGTTGGGAAGTGTTGCAGACCAGGACACTGCTTCCCACCCCTCATATTGGCCACACACAGCAATTCATGGCCAGCCAGCGCTGTGATCCTCTGATACCTGCAGAGGCACAGCTAAACATGGAGGTAGGGGCCTGCCAGAGACTAACCCTGTGGACCCGATCCAGCCCGTGAGCCAGAATTTGCCCACCCCTTCTCTAGATGGAGCTTGGTCCTGCCATGAGTGCAAGGGACTGGAATTGATGACCTCTCGGGTCCCTTTCAGTTTTAGGATTCTGTATTTGGTACGCATCTTCACAATGCACTATGCCATCATCCAACAGGCCAGAGACAACATTGGCTTTGGCAGAGTTGTGTTGTAATTGACATTCCATGGACTCTGTGCATCTTTGGAAGTACTGCTTGGGAGTCACCTACATGGAATGGATATGAACAAGTACCCTATCATGACCATGAGGGTTAGCCAGCAGCCTGGGGACTAAGAGGTTAACTATGTCCCTTACCTAACCAGGTAGCTGGCAGCTGATAGAAATGTAGGTAGGAATTTCAAACTGGGACAAAGGAATTTTTGGTATTTCCTTCATTGTTCCAGGGCAGTTTCTCTCCAGCTACTGACGGGGACAGACAAAATGTGTCTCTCCAAGAAAAGACTCTTCATTACAGTATGTGTAAGTAGGGTAAAGTTTAGATAAGTCCATTAGGTTTTATTGTTTTATGGTTTGGGAATGGGGATCTGATGTCTGTGCATTTAAAAAAAAATTCTCTCCTTTGTTACTAAGTTTTGGCTCATGGTGGAATTCCCCCATGAGTTTATTAATTGGTGACTTTTCCATCTAGTCATTATGCTTGTAACAGAAGTATTGTGGTGATAATAAAAGTTCTTTCTCTTTCCTTTTTATTAACCTGGTATTGGTTAATTTTTGTGTCCTGGTTTTACTTAGGGGGTGAGATTTCCCAAATGATCTCTCCCCTGGTTTTCTTATCATTACTTGGGTGGTGGCAGCGGATTTTTATCCCCAAAATCTAGGTTAAGATTTTGGGGGGAAGTTTTATACCAAAGCCTGGAGTATAAGGTTTTTGGGTACTTTTGCGGGCCCCCACTTCTGCATTTATCATGCCAGAGTAGGGAACAAATCATGAAATGGTGGAATAGCGATGGGATCATTTTGAGAACCCAGGATTTTTAAAAGGACACGTTTTTCTTTTGAGTTGCAAGTTTTGCAGGTTTTTTTCTCTTGTTTTTTTTTCTTTTGTTTTCTGTGCTGCCTTGGAGAGACACAGACAGAAGGTTAATCTTAAGCCAGAGACAGATCATCCTACCCAAACAGTTTGTTTTGTTCTAGCTTTCGGGACAACTGGATAGCGAGGTAGTTAAGGCATGATGTCCAGCTCTAGGACAGATTCATACCCAAGGAGAGGAGACAAGAGTAGGTCCCTGTGAGTCCAGGAGGGGAATAACCTTGAGAGGGCAAGGTATAGCAGCCCTGCTCTCCCCTCATCAATGCCTTCTATGTGGGATTATGCCTTAAAGGCAGGCAAACCTCTAACTGAGAAAAAGATTGAGTTTTTCATAAACATGGAGCGCCTACAACAAAAGGTGAAGCTAGCAGCAATAGAAGCAGAGATAAGGTGGATGGTAGTGGAAATGGAGGCAAGGATAGCAGAAATAAAGGCAGGGAGGAGGCAAACAGGAGCAGAAGCATCAACTTCACCAACTAACCACCCTGCTCCCACAAATGCTGCAGTCACTGTTCAACATCCCAAGGAACTCCAGACCCAGAGAATGGAAGAACAACAGAGACTGTATCTTCCCAGGAGTTCAGTGTATAACTGTGTGGGCATGAGGTGTGATTATGGCAGGGCTAATATGTGTAATTGGGCTGGTACCTTAACCCAGCCCCAGAACATGTATGAGTGTAAATCTTCTGTGTTGCCTGTAGTTAACAGGAAGGTTTGTGAAAGAGGTGAGTGTGATTCTAAGAAGTTGTCTGTGACTAGTCAATCCTACTAGGAACAAGGTAAAAGTTTCTTTCAATGTTTACCTGAGGGAGAGAGCTGTGTGGCTGTGAGTAAGGTTCCTGCTGGTCTGCTTGAAGCCTCAGAGGTGAGGCTGGAATCAGAAACAGGGCAAGGAGAGCCCAGAAATCAGGGAAGTGTTTCTCTGGAACAGTCTGGAGTGGCTGGCCAGAGTGAAGTTTTAGTTGAAGAAAAAGATAAAACTCTGGAGGGTGATGAGTTGTTGGCTGGTGAAGTTTGTAAAATTGAACTTGCACAAGCTAACAGTAGTTTGTGTGAAGGTGCTCAGTGTGAGCCTGGTATGGCTGTCAGCCTGGTATGGCTGAGGAGAGTGCTGTGGATCCAGATTTAGTTCTGGGGACAGCAGAAGCCCAGAAAGGGAAGGACCCTAGGTTTGTGTCTACTGGGGAGAGTGGTGCTGTAATTTAGGTGGATCCAGTAAGTATCATGTCAGGATCCCAGGGATCAGACAAGTCTGGTGCTTGTGTGTTACCTGTTGCTGGTGTGTTGCTGAGAGGGAGGAGAGTGACTCTGTGTGATCAGAGTACTACCCTAGCCAGGTCACCCAGGGAGCAGCAGGGTGGGGTAAGTGTAGTACCTACAGACAGTATGGAAGCGTGTAGCAGTCTAGAAAGCTTCAAGGGGGAGGGAGAGGTCTCTGACCTCTTACCAGGGAAATCTCTTTGTTTTCCTGAAGGGGGGTTGTGTGTAGACCTACCTATTCAGGGGATATAGGAAACTCAGGAGGAGTTGGTGGTGGCTCAGCAGGGCAATATTACTGTAGGGCCGGGGGAAGGTGAGCTTTTGCTTACAGAAGGTCATAGGGAAGAGGATCCTTATAGTGATGTTGGCCAGGAGTTTGCTGTGCCTGAAGGGGGTGAAGATGACTTGCATTTGGAAAGAACTAATGTGGACAAGGGTGAGGAAGTTGCAGAGGGACAGGAGGTTGTTTCAGGTGAAGTAGAAGCAGCCAGGGAGATGAAACAGCCCTCTGGTGACCAAGTGACTGTTTGACTAGCTTGCTGAGAAGTGTATGTTGCTGAAACATGAATGGTTCCAGTCTGGTTCTGTGAGTGGACAAGGAATCTGTAAGTCTACCAGGCCAGTTCACGTAGGCCCTCTCTCTGTGAGGCAGTGGCCCACTTGGAAAACTAGATTGAAAGCAGGGTGCCAGGTTAGTGTCTGGACTGCTTGCTTCCTGATTAGCTGTTGAGAGAAGGAAAATGCAATGGCCATTGTGAGCAAGGGAGACACACCCAGCCAGCCCTTTGTCTTTGGGATAGGGAGTTCTGAATTTGAACACATGGGGGAAGGGAAAGATTTGTGTTTGCCCAGGAAAGCTGCAGCTTTTTAAATCAGAGCCCAAAATTGTCAGGGTATACTTGCTATGGGTTTGTTCCTATTCCCTCCTTTGTCCCAGTGTGAAATTCCAACCTACATTTCTATTGGCTGCCGGCTACCTGGTTAGGTAAGGGACAAAGTTAACCCCTTAGACCTCAGGCTGCTGGCTAATCCTCATGGTCATGACATACCCATAGAAGAAAACATGGTTATTCCCTTTTCGTAACTATTATTCAAGATGTGTTACTCATGTCCATTCCATTAACCACCCTCTTTTGGAGTTTCATTAAGAAGGAATTGAAGGGCGGGGCCTGGTGATGTACCTTATACTGGCACATGTGTGCCATTCCAGAAATTGCCAGAGCCATTCCCCTACAGATACTACTGAGAGACAAACTTCCAGCACCAGTGCATCTGGAAAGTGCACTCACCTACAATGGAATGGATGTGAGCAGCACATGTCAAAGACCAACAGTTATGAAAGGTAAGTAATTGGAGAGAGAAGGTAGTGTTATATTCTTCCATTAAAAAACACATTTTTCTTTTTTTTTTAATTTCCATGAATGTTAGGGTCTCCCAGTCTTGAAATATTAACGTATCAGCAATGGTTGTGCAAGCTTTCCTACACATTCTCGTTTGTCTGCAACTGGTCTAGTTTTTTTCAGTTTTAGGCTACTAAAATTGTGTGGTGGTCATACTTATTTTCACTTAAGACACATAAAAAGTTATAAATCAGGCCTCTGCAGTCTGTGACGAGTACATTAACTCATTGGGCTACCTAGCTCTAGTTTTGAATAAGAAAACAAATATAAATTCTAATTAACATACCGAGTATGAAAATAAATATCATACTTGGTTGTCTAGTATTATGTTATTTTGAAGCCTTACTATCATGAAGGTTACAATATTTTATGCTCACATTTCCACCACATCAAAAAGAGCTGGTCCTAAATTGATCCTCAGTAGAAAAACTCAGATTGGTAATATGGCTTTTCTAGTATCAAGACTTAGAGTTTAAAAACTCTATAAAGCTTCTTTATACTATTCACATCTAAATGAAACACACTTGTGGTGCATTTCATACCTATTTGCCAAGGTCCTGAAGTCTCTTGTGAAACTAATGGAAGATTTGACTGAGGCCTGGTCTTCATTGAAAAGTTAGGTAAACCCAGCTATATCACTTAAGGGTGTAAAAAAAAATTGGCACTCCTAAGCAATGTAGTTAAGCTGATGTAACCTCCATTAAACAGTGCAAGGTCAAGAATTCTTTTTTTTTTTTTTTACCTAGCTACTGCTTCTGAAGAAAGTCAATTACCTATACCAACAGGATAACATCCCCACCCCCCTCCTCATTCCACTGTATGGAATATCTACACTGAAACATTACAGTGGTGCAGTTGTGAAGCTGTGCTGCTGTAACAACTCAGGGCTAAACTCAACAAGTTCTTTTATGTATATATGTTAGTCCATTGAAATCAGTGTGTACATGCACAAATACCTTATTGACTCATGGCCTAAGGATTGCTGGAGTCGACCCTTTGTGGTATATAAATGATGTTGCAAAGCATGCTCTCGTTCATCATTAACTTTAAAGACCTTATAACTGAAGTAGAATTAAGCTTAATAGAATACAAATTCTGCTATTTTAAAAAAAAGTCTTTACCTCAGAATGCACCAAAGAAAGGAAAAGTGGATACTTTTGTGTTAAACCCAAAGTGTGTCAGTGTTAGCGAGCTGTATGGAGAGACTGATCCTAATACTATGGAGTGGGCTGATGGACTGTTGGCATCAGCAGTTCGAACATTTGCAAAACATTCAACCAAAAAATCTAAGAAAAAGGAAGCAAACACTGATGCAACTACAAGAATCCAGGACTCTTACACTGTGAGTTTAATAATTATAAGGAATATGTTATTGTTTTGTATGACATAATGTTAACTTATAAAGTGGGTCAGCTGTAAGGTTTTGAGAGACTGGACAGGTGGCTATTTGGACTTTCTACCCTTTTCCTTTAGCTACAGTCATCCTTTTCTTTCTTCCTTATTCTTTCCCACCAACAGGAATAGCTAGCAAAATGTCAATTGATGCTCTTTGACCAAATTTTATTCCCACAGAAATCAGTGAGTTTTGCCTTGATAATGAGATCAATATTTGGCCATCAAAGAGCTTCAGATCCTAATAACATGTAAAATCTGAGACTGCCCCACATATTTGGAAATTTCCAAAAAATCAGTGAGCCTATTTTATTTGCAAGCATTGTTGGTTCAAAAAGTAGCTCTGCTTTTAAATAATAAAGCTGCTATGTTAAATTATATTTAATAGTTAAGGTGTGCTACAGAACTGCCAACCCAGGGGCAGTAAACCTAAGGTGGCTTGAAGACTGGAGTGGCCCTTGACTAAGTTATGGCTGCCTTTTCTATAGGCTATTGCACTACCCAGAATCTTGGCAGTACCTTTTACTGTGGCTCTGTCCCTAACATGCTGCTACATCAAAACTTATCGAGGGGGTTTTTGAAAGGAAATGTTAAAGCTTGTTCCTTAATTCTTGCCCTAAAGGAATCTTTGCACAGCCTGAACTAGGACTTTTTAAGCCCGTTTAGTCATCTTTGGCCGTTTAATTTTGAAGAGAGAGGATGGTGCTACAGTACATTGCTGTGGTTGAGAATCCTACCCAATATACTTATTGCCCAATCCTACAGGCAAAATACTTTGTGGCTTATTATTGTGCTCAGAAAAATTACTATAGAGAGTAGCAAATCTTGAACTAAAGGAGCAAATACTGAATGCAATGGAGAAGTCAGAAAAGCATTTATATATCTGGTATTATATGAGGTGCATGTTTCTTGCATGTGCTGTTTTTTGCTCTATTCAGGAACCATTGATATTGAGATAATAATAAGGTTTTGGTAGCTGGGCATAGGAATCTTGCTTACATTTAACATTTTTAGCAGTTGTCATCTTTTTCATTTGAAAACTAAATGCAAGAAATGTAAATTAATAAATCTAGAGGTAGAAATGTAAGTTACTCCACCTCACTCCAAATTTAAAATTTGAAATAATTTTGCTACCTCACTGTTGAGATTGAACCATCGGGGAGCCAGCAGTTGCACTCTAACCATCCCTGATGCCCCACCACGGGGCTGGAGCACACAACATCTACTAGGCTGAGCCCCTCTAAGCTCTGGTGTGCAAGGGGAATGTGGGGAGTGTCTTTCTCCTTCTCAGTCAGGGGTCACATCAGTGAGGTGGTTTTGGAGGGGAAGTTGATCCTGTTTTGTGTGTGGCCCCTGACTGACTTTTCTGTAGGCCAGTGGTCCCTGACCCCCCCCTCCCCCCCCAAAAAAAAATTCCACCCCGGATCAGAGGGAATGGATGGCCTCCCACATTTATGTATGTTACTTTCCTGAACTGAGTGCTATTATATACTTATATGTAGATTTATACATGCTACAAGTATGTTTTATCTCCTGTCAGAAGAAACTGTAAAAGGCCAATTTCTCCTTGTCTGACAGTGAATAAATTGGTAGGATTGAATGGCTGAACAACAGCAAGCTTTGGAATCTAGCAAAATATTTTCACCTTCGAGTAGTCCCCGTGGGTGCTCCACTCTGGGTGCTGTGTCCTCGCACCGGCGACTGGAGACTTTTTCCAGCAATTTCTGCCACACCGCAAAGGCGCCGTAGCACCTTCTAATGCCATTGGAATCGTTGGGCAGCTGCACGGCGCAGCTCCTCCGTTCCTTCTCTACCGTCCTCGGCAGCAGACGGAGCCAACTGTTCTCCTTATTCCTGTTTAAAAATAGACAAAAACCAAGTTTTAATCTATAGTTTCCTCATAGTCCAAGATTTTTAGCCCTCCTCTCCTCCCCTGTCAGTTTAAAAAAAAAATTTTTTTTTCCTTGTTGCGCTTGCCGCTTTTCCCCGACACCTCATGCTCGGTTCCCCGGGCATCAAGAGATGCGAGTCATGTCGGGATGCCATGCCCTCCTCAGACAGGCACTCCAAATGTATTAAGTGCCTTGGGGAGGCACATCAAACTCAAAAGTGCCCCACTGCTCGAAACTAACAGCGCGGGCACGATGAGACCGAGCCAACATATTGAAGACCTTGCTTTATGAGAAGTCTCATCGCCTATCTTCGGAGGACTCTCATACGGTTTCAACAGTAGCTCATTCGAGCAAGAGTATGGAGAAAAATCCTCCCTCTACCCACTCTGGGCCAGCGACCTCAAAAATGGGTTTAACCCCGAGCCTATCACGACCCTCGTCGCCGTCGGTTGCATGGGTTAGTACCGAACCTAGGCCAGGAACTTCGGGAATGGCACCGCCTAAACCATTGGCACTGCATAAGAGAGCTCACTCTGAGCCGACACAGCTACAGACTGTTTCGGCACCGGAGATACCATCGGTGCCGACTGTACTGACAGGCGGCCACAAGGACCGGCCAAAGCACCATGCAAGGCCGACACCAGGCCCAGCACTGAAGAAGGGTCACACTGACATGCCACTGCCCGGTACTTCAGCACCTGATCGGGCCTCGGCACCGTCATTTCCACCATTATTGGGGCAGACCGGGAGGCATGAACGGCACCGATCTCTGACCCGGAGCCTCACGTCCTCAGCACCGCCTTCCCCGGGATCTTCCATTCATTCAGGGAGGTCCCACCACTCTTCGGTCGTCTCTCAATCCCCCAGTGAGATCGGCACCGAAACAAGAAGCAGATTCTCCTTGCAGCACTCTAGCCCAGAGCACAGACCTCCCTCCTGGCAGCCTGCGGTGGTTCAGTATGCATACCCTCCTTCTCCACACCCATGGTATGCCCAACAATACACTTACACACCACCGCCATACGTCACCCCATGGCAACCCTACGAACCACGTTCAAAAAAGGGCCACCATCGAGCGCCTTCGACCATTTCTAGGCCTCCTCCTCCCGACATGCCTTCTGCTCCCACGCTTTCTGCCACTGAGCCAAACTCTCTAGCCCCCTTGGAAGCACATGATTCTCTCTCTGAGGGAGAAATTAGATCACCACTTGACATCTCATCCTCATCTCCGGACGAAGCCGTCATACCAGAAGCTGCACCATCTGGGGACGACATTAAGAAATTTCAGGGCCTTTTTAAAAGGGTGGCTATAGCTCAACAAAGGGATCTCCAGGAGGTGCAGGAGAAACAATATTTCCTTCTCTGCACACTACAACCTACAACTACCTCCAGATTAGCACTCTCCATGGACAAGACTATTATGGACCCAGCCGACAACATCTGGCAAACTCCAGTGTCCATCACTCCAACAAACAGAAGGGCAGATCGTAAATACTTTATTGCTCCTAAAAATATGGACTTCCTCTTTACGCACCCACCTCCGAATTCCCTGGTGGTGGATTCGGTTCGACACCAGAGCAAACAACCCAATCTCAGGTTCACCCCACAGGATAAAGACCATAAAAAGGTGGACATTATGGGGCGTAAATTCTACTCATCAGTCACGCTACACTTGAGAGTTGAGAATTACGCAGCTATGCTAGCAGACTATGATCATGCCAACTATTCGAAATTAGAGGATCTTCTCCAACACCTACCGGAGCACAAGAGGCCAACCTGGCTTAATATCATGCAAGAGGGCCATAACATTGCTCGTACAGCCCTACAGTCTTCCATGGACATAGCAGACACTGCAGCTTGTGTGACGGCCTCTGCTGTGGTCCTCTGCAGAGCATCCTGGCTACAGGCATCTGGCATACCCAGGGATCTGCAGCAAAAGGTTGAGGATCTACCTTTCGATCAAGCCAACCTTTTCGTGGCAAAAACGGATGAAGTGCTCCATTCAATGAAGGACTTTCGTACGACTCTCAGGACACTGGGAATGTACACTCCCCCGTTCAAGAGAACCAGATATCAGCCATACCAACGCCAGAGAAACACCTTCAGGCAGCAACCCAGAACCGACTTTTGCCCGAGACAAAGACCACAGAGGAGTAGACCCCAACAGCAACACCAACAACACCCCACAATCCACCCGTCAGCAACCAAACAGCAGGTTTGAAGGTCAAGTCAAGAACCGCATAGCCAATCCACCATTATCGCCAGCTGACACCACTCAGTTCCACCAACCCCTCCGGGCCTTTTTTCACCAATGGTCTCTCCTCACTTCAGACAAGTGGGTTTTGGAACTGATCCAGTATGGTTATTCTATCCCATTTACCTCCACTACCCACCCTCCTTCCCTGTCCCTTTTCAGGGACCCATCTCACGAGGCAGTTCTCCAACAGGAGGTTGCATGTCTTCTTCAACTCGGTGCAGTGGAACAGGTACCTCCTCAATTCCACGGCCGGGGCTTTTATTCAACCTACTTCTTAACCCAAAAGAAGACGGGAGGATGGTGACCCATCTTAGACCTCAGGCACCTCAACAAGCACGTGGAGTACCACCGCTTCAAGATGGTTACTCTAGCAACAATTCCCGCTCTCGATCAAGGAGATTGACTATTGGCTCTCGACCTCCAGGATGCCTACTTTCACATTATGGTTCATCCTGCTCACAGACGTTTCTTACATCTTACGGTGGGTAATCAACACTACCAATATCAGGTGCTCCCGTTCGGCCTATCGACTGCCCCCAGAGTGTTTTCCAAGACCTTAGCAGTCGTAATGGCATCACTGCACCGATGAGGGACCATAATATTCCCATACCTGGACGACCGCCTTATAAAAGGCGTGTATTTCCATGAAACCAAAACCATGACAGACAATACAGTAGCCCTTCTACTCAGCCTCAGCTTTCACATAAACTATGCAAAATCCACCTTACTCCCTACTCAGAGGCTAGAATTTATAGGTGCTCTCATCGACACAACTACGGCGAGAGCTACGCTTCCCGACCA